AATTTTTGACATATGAAGGTCAAAGGTGATAATCAAAATACCGTCTCTGATTTATTTCTACATATAGATATTGAAGACAGGCGCCAATATGAAGTGAAGCCCTTGAGGCATTTAATCTCTCACAAGTTGACCAGGGAATGGAAGTTTTGACGGCAATCATGATTCAACTTACCTAGCCAACTATTGGACGTTATTCACAACCATAATAAATCACACAGCCAATGTTTATCTAGCAAAATTAATCGTCAGTTGGTCCGGGAATTAAATCTCTGACCCTTAAGCTCTTCAGTATTGCCTGATTTGTCCAGGTTATCAAGTCATTTGGGTTGAAAACCTGCAATCAAATAAAGAGTCTCAAAGTGCAAAAATGTGCTTGAAAATTGATATTAAAATTACTTGATTTAATTTCTTGAAGTGGGTTATATAATATATTTTCCTGTGGTCAAGTTTGTGAATGAATGTATGCTTGAAGTTGTTTTCTATTGTTTGTACTTTTCAATAAGTAGAAGTCGAGAATATTGACAGAAATTAGCTCCACTCTCGAGCTGAGTAAATTTGTTTTCTGTCGAACTTGCAAACACATCTCATAAGTAAATATACATAGTCAACACTCTGTGATGACATTTCCAATCACAAGAGATAACAAGCTAGAAAAGAAATCGCCATTTAATTTTCTTCAATATGAATAGTTACTTCATAAAATATCACATTTTTTGGGTTCACATCAACAGAGATCGTGATAGGTGATGATAAGCTGATAATTTTGGAAGTATAAGCGTAATATATAGTTATAAACAATGTAATAGAAAGATGTGGAGGTTTTAAGGTAAATTGTGAATGTGTGCTTACTGTATCTTATGTAAATTTGTTTTTTCTTATCGCCACTATCATATTTGTCTAACTAGTATAAACTTTGGTACAGTCTATAAAAGCTTAACCCCTACCACAATCTGTTGATTCACTTACTATTAACACACATAGTAAAGCTTTTGTCTATATATTGTATAAACTATATCTATATTGACAAAGCCAACCCCTTAAAACTCTTAACACAACTTTCACTACAGATATACATAGCATTATCCATGCATTTTAATATATAATCCTCTACTAGTTGTTGATGGTATCTGAGTTGTTCATATGTTAAAGGAGCTAAATCGCTAATATTTGGGACCTAAAAATTGGCACAAATGGGTTGCAAGGCATATAATAATGAAATATGAATGTATATAAACTGATTTACATTCAATTCAATCGTTTTCGTTTTTCTCTACTTTCAAATCAGTTTTGTTCGGCGTAATACACTAGAAGTCTCAATCGAATGGCAATCTCTAGTGTCTGGTTATTCCAGTCTACACCGATAGTATTTATTGCGCATGCTCTCCAGATAAGAATATGTTGTCACCGAGCCTCGTTCTTTGAGTCCCTTGTTACAAATGGTGCTGAAACGCATTCTGGTACACAATTTGTGTACCAATGGTAAAATGTTTATTTTGTCTTGAATATTGGATATCAGAAGCCCATCTTTATAATAATTGTCATATCTTTAAAGCAGAGGGGTTAAAATTTGTCAATAAAGTAGCCCAAAGTTAAAATATTGTTTATCGATAGGTGGTGCAAAGGAGGCTTTGATTTGTCTAAACATTTCTTAAAATGGTCATCTTTGTACTGGATCTCTGACCAGATGGACAAACCCAAACTAGTCCCCATGTGATTTCACTTTTTCACTAAGATCAACTAGGAGGCATGACATTAGATAATCTTCTATAATTAGGATGGGGTATATGAATACGAATATTCATTGTTTAAACAGTCATAACAATGTTTCAATCCCAAGCTTGTAGCTTGTTATTTTCACCTGGTTCCCCAGTTTTCTTGTACTGTGAAAATTGCCTATGCACTATTGTATTATTGAAATAAAAATGTTGACTACCATATATTAGTCCCAAAATGAGAATACGAAAGGTCACATTAATTTTGGTTCCTGTGTATGTTGACCTCTTTTATGACTGATTAATTTCTTGTTTTGAAGTACGTAAATGAATTTTTAGAAAGGCATACTAGCATTTATACATTAAATTATTGAGAGTTTTCTGCAAACCATGTAATTCTGATTCTATATAACTACATGTAAATAATAATATATGATAGTTATAATTAGGATGAATGATTTATATAAGAAATATGAAGAAATACATTGCGAGCCTTTGTTTACAAAACATTAAGAAACTGACAGATAAGTTTATTAAGATTTTATTCATACCTATATATCAAATTGTATCTGTGTAGCTTGATAGCAAGCCACTTCACACACCAAGATCAAAGTCTTTTAATATATTCACCCCTGATATAAAATAAAGATTATTATGTCTGTAAAACATTGTATAAATTAAATAATAAATTTTGTTTTGGGTTAAAAATAATGTGGTAGTTTCTGATATATTATTATCAGGAAGATGTAGTTTAATGCACTTGCATCAACAAATCACTGTGATGGCTAAAAATGAACTAAACATGACCTTGGTGTAATTTCTCTTGGTATTTGCAATCACTGGTAGGAATGACATCAGTATTATATTAAATAGGTAGTAATATATTAATTGAATTAAATTTCTAAACAATCTATGTAGTTACTTAGTTAATAAATAAAAAAAGTTTGAAGTACTGTATAATTTTAGAAGAAATAAAATTTGATAGACACCGCAGGAAGACAACCAACAATGTCTAGTTACAGATTAGAGTAGGCATTGGACCACTCACTCATCAAACTTGCTTTATGAGACTAGAATATATACACATATGTACCCCACAATGTAAAGAAACTCACATTTATTTTATGAACTATCAATTTTCCTCCAGATCAATTTATATTTAATAAAATAATTAGTATTGTACATAATTTCATATTTATCATTGTAGATTTTCATTGATTCCAAATAACTCTTCTGTAACTCTGTTATCTTACTAAATACATCTTGTATGAAATGGTTTTGATTTGATAGGTGAATTTTATTCATCCTAGACCTTTGCGTTTTGTTAATTAATAGGAGAGATAAGACACGAATGAACAAAGGGAACTACCATTAGGCATTGTAGGTTGTGGGAGTTTATGCCATAGATCTAATTTTCCAATAAAGATAAAGCTAGATGGATATCTTTATATTGATCAGTAAATATTGAAACAAAGATAATCAATCAAAATTAATGAATTCTCCCTGATTACCAGAAGGCAAGCCTAAATAATTGGATGTTTGCAAAAATCAAAGGATTGTAGAAATATGTCGAGAAAGAATTTATTCCCATAACCTCATTGACCTTTGACAGAATCCAATATATGTATTTCATCTCCTAATATTTAAATTTTCAATTTTAAAAGATGTAGTCTATTGTGACATACATATTTCGAAAAAAGGAACTTTGGTGTAGTGAAATAAACTTATTTTGATCTGTCTGTGGATACAGTTTGCCTGGCAACCATCTTAGTGGTTGTTATTAGTCTGTTCTGGAATTGGCAATTCAGTTCATGTTGAATATAAAGAAGTTTTCAAATGTGATTTTTTTAACTGAACAAAATTATCCTCAACTTTATTGTTAGCGTTAAACAAGAAGAAATTACATAGATGTATAATGCCAAATTTTGTTCCACACCCATTGGGTTGGGTAAGATCCACCTTTTTAAAATTCTTTGATGTTCACTAATAACAAAGGTGTTGATCATAATCTATTAGATTTACCTTGTTCATTCAAAATCCTCCAATCCTAATATATGCAATTAAAGTGCTATTATGGCCCTCATCCTCCAAATTTCTTTTGAATCATTCACGTACAAATATATATTTTTTTCATGTACCATTTATATATTATTTTGTGTGTTTAAAGGTTTATTTACAAAAGGTTTATTGAATGCTTTACTATTAATGCTTTCAACTAGACAACTTGAACTCATTCAAGAATATGCAATTATTACTTGTCTCAATGACTTGTGTGCATCATGGCCATGAATCACAATATAAGGCGTGTTCGTGAACTGATTAAAAGAAGTCCAGGAAATTAAATGGATTTGTTGGGATTTCTAAAACGAAGATACAAAATTGAGCGAAAATGCAACTCATTAAAGTAGTAAGGGCTCATTTAAAGATATAAGTGAATCCAGAAAAGCTGCTTCAGCTTCTACTTAAATGATGTGGGCAAAATTGCTTTGAAATTTGCACTAGTGTAAACAGAGATAGTAGAAGCTAAGCGTGTGAATCAATTTGACGTGATAACGTGAGAGGCCTTGCAGATTCGTTTGCTCCCTGCGACATATTCTTTCTGTTTGTTTTGCATGTTGTAGCATATTAATGACGGCACGACTTGATACCTCTTGTTGTCTTCGTCTGTTGGTCCATTACTTCAATATGCTATTCCAGCCAGGTTGTCAAGAATTTAATATGGGCTACAAAACAATAGATCAGAAATATAATGATAATGTCACTTTTATTGTGTAGATTAGTTGAAAATGGAGATGAATTATATACGATTTTGGCAAATGAGTTCAACTTTTAATTTTTTTCAATGACAGCTTATATAATTATTAATTGAATTTCAATTAATAGAATTTCAAATAAATTTTATTTCTGATTGAGTGGTATAGTTAGATCAAGTCACTTGTTTTCCAATGAATAATTTTCTGATAATTACTTAATGGGTTATTACTTGTAATGAGATTTTCATGTGTTGTAATTGTTCTCATTACTGACACAAAAAAAAATATGCGACAACACCTGTTGACTGTCAGGACGATTTAGCTGCTGTGAGCGTATGTTTCATTGCCTGGCAACCTATCTTTAATTGAATTTTAAAATTTTATCATTGTTTGACTGGTGCAATTAAGTTAGTCGCCTTAATCCCTACCCAGACCTGCACCCACCCTCCACCACCACCCCTCCACCACCTCCACCAGAGCCACTTGTCATTTAACAGTGATAGTTTAAATAATATACTTTTTCTTACAATTTCAGTGCTGAAAGTTAAGGTTGATTGGATGTAGGAGCAAAGTTTTTACTTGAATATTCTGAGGTAGATATTAATTTGTTAGTGATAGTGAAACTTTTATATATTAAAGCTCTGTAAATAAATAAATTATAGGAATTTATGAGTTAATTCAAACTGAAAACATATCACTTCATCCTGTCTATACAATGCCTGGTAAGGACAAGTATATGAACAACGGTACTTCATAAGATTTATAATGGCCTCATTATAACTGATATATAACAAGCCCTCTGGGAGGTATTTTTAAAAGAAGTCTGGTATTTAGAGTTTGGTTCGTTGTAGGAGCAAAGTTTACATAGACCGATTCACCGCTACCAGTCTCAACATAACTCAATTCAATCAGCCGATTAAAGCAACACTGGGTTGTGTATCTCATGTACGCAATATGACAGTGTTCGTGCCAGCCACTGTGACCCCTTGTGTCACCTGCCTTTTAAATTGAATGGTGTTCGTTTCCTCTAGCCATGTCTTATTACATCTTATGTAAGCTTTACAGGTCATGACAAATTATATGATGGAATGATCACTCTACTACAAAATATACTTAAATCAGCATTCCTATGTTTCATGCCGTGTCATTCTTGAATACGATATCAGAATTTCTACAAGATATTCTTTTACTTACAATTAATAAGAATTAAGTTACACATCTCATCAAATAGTAATATCATTTTTATATAGAAAGTTGTCATAAGATATTAGATGGGTTTTTGTATAAACATGTTTTTGGTAGTCATGTACATAGTGTGACAATCTTTCCCCTATTAGATTCCCAAATAGAGCAGAATGTGATAGATACATGAATTTTAAAATAATTTATGCTAAATCAATACCCTTCATACTCTGTGTATCAGTATACACTAAGATATTCAATGGATCAAAGAATAATTATAACATTTATGTTGCTTTGTGTTTTTTTTACAGTGAGTAACTTTGAAAACAATAAGATGCCATGTTATTATACAAATAATACAATTTCCCAATAGTGTAATGACTATCAAATTAAAAACCAGATAGTATCTACCAATTATAGGGTAAGTAGGGTATCGTATGATTAGTATGGTACATGGACCAAAAGTTCTTGGGTTTGATCCTGGTGTTTCATTTTGCTTATTCTTAACTGTAGTTACTTAATTAATTAATAAATGATACATTAAAATGGATACAAATTGTTTATTACCTAATATAATAGTAACTTAATTATTAAATAATATTATTGCATATTATAGATAATATTTTTATACGCCCACATTTTCATATGATCACATATTGTCGTCGCCCCTGTCCGTCTATCTATCCGTCCACACTTTGTTTGTTGACATTCTACAGGTCACAATTCTTATCCAATTTTTGACGAATTATTGGTTTATTTCCAAACGATTTTGGTTCCTTTCAATATTGGCATGTATCAGATCGAAACTTCATGAATTATGGCCCCTGATTGTACAAAAAAACACGTTTTTAGCTTTTGGACACTCTAGAGGTCACAATTTTCAAAATGCATGGTTATAACTCAAAGATCTTTGTTCCTTTTGATATTTGCGCATATCGGGATCGTAACTTCCTGAATTATGGCCCCTGATTGTACCAAAAGTTGCATTTTTAGATTGTGGTCTCTAGAGAGGTCACAATTATTATCTGATTTAAAAGATATCACTGTTACACCATAATGTCGCTCGAGTTTCAATTTCGTGAAATTTGGACCAAAACTGTCGGACAAAATGACCGTCCCTCGTACGGAAATAGTGTAAATATATGGTATATCAAGGTTGTCAACCCTCTAGAGGCCACAATTTTGATCCAATTTTGATAAAACTTTAAATTTATGTTTATATCACAAAGGTTTTGGTTCCTTTCGATAATAGCGCATATCGAATCGTAACTTACTGGATTATGGTCCCTGATTGTTTGAAAAATTGCATTTGGAAATTGTGGACCCGCTAGAAGTCAGAATTTGTATTCAATTTTAATAAACGTTTAAATATATTACTGTTACACATCAATGAAGATTGAGTTTGAATTTCGTAAAAATCTAAACCAAACTGCTCGACAAAATGGCAAATTTGTAAGCAAATAATGTAAAAGTATGTGATACCAAGGTTGTGGAGTCCACAATGTGGACACTCTAGAAGTCACAATATTTATCCGATTTTTATGAAACTTGAAGTGTATGATTATAATCCAAAGATCTTTGTTCCTTTCAATATTTGCGCATATTGGACCATAAATTCCTGGGTTTTGACCCCTGATTGTACGAAAAATCACATGTTTAGGTTGCAGACCCACTAGAGGTCACAATTTTTATCCGATATTAAAAAAACGTTTAAATGTTTCACCATTACACCTAAATGACGTTTGGATTTGAATTTCATGCAAATCGGACCGAAACTGCCTGACAAAATGGCCGCTCCTTAGTGTAAATTAGTGTAAAAGTATGTAATACTAAGGCTTTGGACCCTCTAGAAGTCACAATTTTTATCTGATTTTGATGAAACTTAAAATATATCTTTATATCCGAAATATCTCAGTCTGCTTTGATATTTGCACATTTCAGACTATAACTTCCTGGATTATGGCCCCTGATCATACGAAAAATTAATTTTTGTACCCTGCCTGTCCCGTCCCTCTATCTGTCTGGGAAACAATTCTCCTAAATGAGCTACAATGTTCAAACTTGGTGTAGGTGTTTATTAGGTCAATGCCTTGATGAAGTTCGAAGATGAGCATTTTCTGCTTAGGGTAAACAGAGATAAGCAATTTGATTGGTTGGTGCTTGGGGACACAAAAACTTTATTTCTAATCAAGTGAGAATGATGAAACTTGGTGTATAGTTTCATTACCTCAACATCTTGACTAAGTTTGATAATGAGCATTTTCTGCTCAGGGTAAGCAGAGCGATAAGCAATGTGATTGGTTGAGATTTTGGAACACAATAACTCTCCTAATTGAGCTATAATGTTCACACTCACTTGGTGTTGGTGTTTTTTAGGTGAATGACTTGATGGAGTTCGAAGATGAGAATTTTCTGCTTGGGGTAAGCAGAGATAAGCAAGTTGATTGGTTGATGCTTTGGGACACGATAACTTTAGTTCTAGTTAATTGAGAGTGATGAAACTTGACATCAATACCTTGACTAAGTTCGATAATGAACATTTTCTGCTGAGGGTGAGTAGAGCGATAAGCAATTTGATTGGTCAAGTTTTTGGAACACTATAACTCTGCTTCTAGTTGAGGTAGAATATTCAAACTTGGTGTAGGCGTTCATTAGGTGAATGCCTTGATGAAGTTCGATGATGAACATTGTCTGCTTATGGTAAGCAGAGATAAGCAATTTGATTGGTTGATGCTTTGGGGCACGATAACCTTGGTTATAATTAAGTGAGAATGATGAAACTCTGAGTACAGATTCATTTTATCATTACCTTGATTACGTTCGTTGATGAGAATTTTCTACTTAGGTTAAGGAGTGATTAGCAATTTGATTGGTCAAGACTTTGGAACATAACAACTCTTCTTTTAATTAAGATAGAATGTTCAAACTTTGTGTTGATATAGATGTTCATTAGGTGAATGTCATGACTGAGTTCAATAATTAACATTTCCCACTAAAGCAAAGCAGATCTAAGCAATTTCATTGGTCGATGCTTTGGGACACAATAACTTTGATTCTGTCTGATAGAGAGTGATGAAATTAAGTGCATAGTTGATAATCAGTTTGATTCCTCAATACTTTTAAAAAAGATAAATTAATGTGCAATTAATTAATATGTGTCATTTATTGATTTCAGGATTTTGGCGGGGGACATCAGCCTCAGGGTTGGCTTGTTTTTTTTAGCTTGTTCTCTATCCATCTCTTTCAAAATGTGGATGTATCATGCCTGGCAACCACTGGTTTGATGAAATAGTAGGCCAGATAAATAAGAAATTCCCATCTGGTGAGGCAGTATTCACCAGTATGAGAAAGGAGAAATTTAGGTAAATAACTATATCACATTAAAAACAACCATATCTGGATAAGCAGATGCAGTCTGTAGTGGAAATCAATTTATTGGTAATTAATACCAAGATTGTATCATTTTAATTAAAATACCAAAATTTTATCATTACTGCAATTATTAATATAAATATTTTATGATTAATATTAGATTTTGGTTTTGTTTAATTTTTACAGTAATGTCTTGTGCAAAGATCCTGAACCTAATGTGAGTTTGCCCTAGAGTAGGCCTGTCTTAAATCGTAATGGAAAATAACGTCTCCTAGAATACTTTATTGCTTTTAACACAAAGCTCATGATATACAATAGGAAGAAATTTATGAGAAAGATCAATTGGCAATGTACATGCATGTATTATAATGTTATAAACTTATACATCTGGGAATATTAAATAAATAAAATCTTAGAAAATTTATACTTTAACTTTCTCCTTATTAATGGTTGTTTTTTGTGTTTATATATTCTATATGCCATGGTATATCTCTCCTCTGTTATTCAACATTGATCTCCAGATGATGGGTACCAAAGGGTTGACCCCCTCCCCCCCCTTCTCTCGCCTTCAGGATTCAGTCTTGTTACTTACACGCATAAAAACATGCACGTGGACACATTGGCCTTCTTTTGTAGCATATAGTGCTACTTTCTTGGAGTTATTATATAATTCCTGAATCACATTATTCTGATTTATTCCCTAGCCTTGTTTATGGCATTTTGGAGGATCAGAACGATGAGAAAGGGTCTGTTTTTTCTGTTTTCCAGATCTTCGAATGATCGTAGTTTTAAGAATTTTGACATAGGTTTTCCTACCTGTTATACATTTTATTTTTCATTGACCGAAGGCTGATTTATTCACCATTCTTGATCTTGTATATATAAGTAGTTGTGTTAAAACAATACCATCTATCGATATCGTATGTGAATTATTTGGAAATGTCGTGAGGTTTGTGTTGTTTTGTGCACCAATTTTGCCAATCCCATCTTAATTATTCCTCTATGTTCGTATGAGGGGCACAAAAGACACGACACTGATTATATATATTCAGGAGTGGTCACGTTTCATCACTGTAAGAATAACCGTGTTAAATTATTGAACTGCCTACAAAAAGTGTTCAGATGTGTGTTGTTTGGTTCCCATTCTTTAGCTATAATTAGTAAGTATTGTAACCTGAAGCATAGAAGTTCATTTGTCCCACTCATTAGTAATATATTTACGGAGAGATTGATTTACCAGAAAACCTTGGGTGTAACATTCGTTGCCCTCCCCTAGAGTGGGTCGACCAGCTAAAAACGCGATTTTTCGAACAATCAGGGGCCATAATACTGGAAGTTACGTTCCGATATGCACGATTATGGAAAGGAACCGATATCTTTGTGATATAAATATAAATTTAAAGTTTCATCAAAATCGGATAAAAATTGTGACCTCTAGGGTGTCAACAACTTTGATATACCATACTTTTACGCTATTTGCATACGAGGGGCGCCATTTTGTCCGGCAATTTCGGTCCGGTTTTCACAAAATTCGTACACAACCGTCATTATGCTGTAACGGTGATATATTCAAACGTTTTTTTTTTAAATTGGATTAAAATTGTGAACTCTAAAGAGACCACAAGCTAAAAACGCGATTTTCCCTATAATCAGGCGTCATAATCCAGAAAGTTACAATCCGATATGCGCGAAAATCGACAGGAACCAAGACCTTTGGGTTATAAACATACATTTCAAGTTTGATCAAAATCGAATGAAAATTGTGATCTCTATAGAGGGTCCACAACCTTCATATTACACACTTTTACACTATTTGTTACATAGAACGGCCATTTTGACGTAATTCGAACTCAACCATCATCATGATGTAACGGTGATATATTTGAACGGTTTTTTAAATCAGATAAAAATTGTGACCTATAGGGGTCCACAAGCTAAAAACGCGCTTTTTCTTACAATCAGGGTCGATAATCCAGGAAGTTGCTATCCGATATGCGCGAATATCGAAAGGAACCAAGATCTTTGGGTTATAAACATATATTTCAAGTTTCATCTAAATCGGATATAAAAATTGTGACCTCTAGAATGTCTACTGGCTAAAAATGTTATTTTTTGTACAATCCGGGGCCACAATCCATGAAGTTTCGATCCGACACATGCCAATATCGAAATGAATTGAGATCTTTTGGCGATAAACCTATATTTCAAGTTTCGTCAAAATCGGATAAAAACTGTGACCTTTAGAGTGTCCACAAACAAATTGTGGACGGACAGGGGCGACGGCATAATACGTCCACATGAAAATGTGGGCGTATAAAAATGTAATACTATTACATGACAAATGACAATCAAGGTATCTTTGAAAAGTGTCACTCCACTGGTTAAAGGTTTTTCCTTGGATGCATCTAAGAGCGGAAACCACTAGTCTCAGTATGCTATACCGCTTTTGATAACATGTTTTATTTTTTGTAAACTTCATTGTCTTATCTCACGAACACATCGATCTAGATTTACAAGTCGCTCAGTATGTTTAGTTCTCTTAAGTTCATTTCACCTATGACATTTTCTCTTCCACTAGATATCGCTTCATCAACAGTAAATTAAATGGTAGATGATTCAAACGAGCTATATCTGTGCTAATTATTGTCGTCGTTCTTAAAAGCAGTTCCATTTTCCCCTTCACGCCCTGTCGTGTTGCTGACAAAGCCCGATCCTTTTTAATTAAAATACCACTGAAGCAATGGCTGGACCAGGTGAGGCATACCTATATGTGGTATACCGTATATACGTTTTCCCTTTAACACAGCACCTGGCAACTTGCAATTAAGATACATATGCTATTTTGGACGTAAAGTGTCATTGCTATTGTCGACAAAGATACTACCCAAATTGGTTTCATCTCGTTGAAACTTAAGACACTATACACCACCGACCGCTCGCCTTTCTGTGGCTATTTTTTTCTTAAGTATGAAAATCCAGGTGTTGAGCCTTTCTCTTCGTACCTAAAGGATGTATGTAACAAAACGTTTTCAATGGCATTGATTGTTACTTTTTTATTAGAAAATTGTGGTTTGGATGTCAACACAATGTGTTAGCCCATCAGCACGCCACATAGGTTGATTTTCAAGGTGTTTATTATTAAGGGTTAATATGTTTTAGCAGTAGTAAGCCACTTCAACACGATTGCTATCAAGCTGGGTGCCATACTTGCTGCGTACTTCTTAAAGAAAAGCTACACAATACACAGGAATAGACATGGGATTAAACCTCTTCGTAACACTACGTTAAAATGATATTATTGAGATGAAGCTATAAAATGGAGACTTTTCCAATTAACAAACTAAAAAAAAGCATGTAACATGAGCGTCTTTACTAATTTGAAAAGACAACTACATCAAAAATTGCTGGAAAGAAGAAATGTGGATTTTTATATGAAAAATTGCCTGAAAATTCTTTTTCGTTAAATGAGAAAAATGGAAAAATGCTGGATTGGAAAATACCTTTTTGTCTTTCTACCCTAGTTATTGTTTTCTGACTTGAAAATATATTTTTCATACCAAACGGACTATCTCATAAACCCAAATGTCTGATACCAATCGTCTCTAGATCATGTTCTGGTCGTAGATGCTGTAATTTACGAATGCACCAAAAGCCTTTTAAAAGTAAATCCCATGTTCCAAATTATCCGTAGACGATCTGAATATAAAAGTCTATGTTTTTGAGATCTGTATACTAATTATCTATAGATCTTGACGAACAACATTTAATCCTCCACATTATCTGTTTTAACACGATTCTAACGACAATGTCTTGTTTGTCAGACGTGATACAACAATTAAAAAATATACGCTAAAAACCATCTGCTAAAAATTTCGATTATTGTCGTCTTCTATGTCAGTTTCTGATTTACTGCGGAATTTCTGTTTCCGGGAAGTCATTAGAAACAGACGTCAGTAAAAAACTGTTTGCTCGGATTTCAGAGAATGGCGACAATGTGATGACCTTGTCAATTCGTTTACCTTAAACCACAAATACCAAATTTTTGTTATTTTGAATAACTTTTGGGTTGACAATTTCTTTTTCCAATAATTCAACTTTAAACTCATCTCTTTAACAAATATTAGCATTGAATCGATCATATCCGAATTACTGTTTCATAGAACATGGCAGGGGAGAATCCGAGGCGAACTTGACCCGAAATTATAATACAATTCCCTGTCTAAACTTAATAACAATGTTGTCCAGACTGACTAGATTCCCCAAGAGAAAGATTATGATAGAGAGAGAGAGGGAGAGAGAGAGAGAAATGGGGCTTAACGTCAACTCGACACAATCTTAAAACTAGGTCATTTCGGGACTAACATGGTTCAATTTTATTTCATTAATTAGTTTGCGCGTAGGTGTCTTTAGCACTGGGAGGACCCGTTGAAAACCCATGAGGTTGGACAAGCGACCCTACTCCTTGTCACGTACAACCGGGGAATCGAAACCACGCCAGTTGACTCATTGACCGACCTTATGATTGAACGCGCACGCGTTAAGCATTTAGCCATCCAACCCCCAATGTCCAAGAGAAAGAATATAGACAACTATTTCTACTAATAGCAAGCCATGTTTGGTCCTTGCAGACAGCAACATATAGGCGTTGCAGAGAGGAGTTCTGCCTCTGGCTCCCGGTGATTTCTAATCCACCAATTCGGTAAGCAGATGAAAATAATATGATAATTCCAACGTAGTATCACTTTCTGATGCGTATGGGTTCGTGTTATAGCCTAATACGTGGTCACAACTCCTTAGTTTATCTTGATAACCGCTGACATTCAAAAAACATTACTACAATGGTACTTCCAAAATTTGATTCAGCAGTAATATGACAAATGGTTAACAAAAATGTTTAAAAATTCAAAACTAGGTCCTGCATGGTTTATTATTATATCGTACGGTAATTGAAAAGATTGACTTCTTTTGCGTCAAAAATAAAATTGTCAATTTCAGTTGATTTTGTATGTTCATTGTTTTTTTAGGATGTTAATCTGTCTTCGGTGAATAATTTCATGTCCTTTGTCAAAGCCAGTGTTGAGATATAACCGATTTTGTGTTCAACTGTCGACACAGTAAACAAGCCAACTTCCGCTTAACCTTTGAAAAAAAATCCAACCCAAAACAACAAAATATCGCATATTGCAGCTTTCCCCATCACAAATATAAATAATACATCCGATAAATCTAATGCAGCAGTCTACTATATTTTGACTTTATCTATCAAATCGATTTAGCTTCTTCCACTCCCAGCACCAAAATTGGCAAAATAGACTGTAGACGTAGGCCTATAAGGAATGACTGGTTAGTATAAATAAAAGGCAACAGTATATAGGCTATCCCGATGTATATATATAGGCTATCCCGATGCATATAGCAGCGATG